AATGTTTAATAACCTAATAAATTAACCATATGGCCGTCCCCTTTCTTGCAGGGCCCCGTATGGCTGAAGAAAGAGCATTTGAATGCAATCGTCGTCTTTATGCCGTACTTCTCTTCCATTGGCGTCACTGTAAAATTTCTCTCTGTAAGCACTCATGACATTTTGCAAATTCGCGTATTTACTGCTCTATCCCGTGCAGCGTAAGCAGCTGTAGAAAATGTTTTACTCCATTCGTGGAAAATTCCTTTATGGCTGCGAAAATTATCGTCAGTCTTGTACGCGCGTCTTAGCATTAGCACCTGCCATGACATTAGTTTTTCGATACATTCTGTGATCAATATTTCGAAACATTCCTAATTTTTGTTATTGGCGCGATCAAATTGCTGCGAACCATTTCAATCGCATCGTTCATAGTCGCAAAGATACCAACGAGTTTTCCGAAATTCGCTTTTTTTCGGCTTAATTGTTGTAGTCTGTAGTGCTGCGATGCACAACGTTGGTGAAGTTTGTCACTTGTTTGCATAGCTCGCAAGTGTACTGCACAGTTTCTAGGTCCATTACTTCGCAATTCTTTTCGTTAATCGCAGTCTGCTTACGTTCTGAAAAATTGACAGATACGAAGTGGATCGGTCCTCGGACAACAATATTGTGGGCAGCAGTCTTGTCCAAAACATATCGTGTTTTCAGCAGCTTACGTCTTCCGCGTAATACTAGTTTCAATAGATTAGTTATTGGTTACATAAGCGGTGCTTCGATCCTTAAGCCCGTGCCAAAATATTCGTTTTTTTAGAGATAGCCTTAAAAGACGAGAATTTTTTGAAAATGGGATTCAAAAATTGACTGAAAAATGTGGAAAAGTCATAGCTAACGATGGAAAACACTTTAAAAAAAAAGGTTTTCATCAATTTCTCTGAATAAAGCTTCAAAATTACAAAACAAAAAATAACCTCAAAACTTACTTGTACACACAATAACATTGTTGTCGATTAACTTGATAATCGTTATCTTCTTTAACTTTTTAAGTTGTTATAATTTAGTTTAGATTTCAAAATTTCCGCGTATGGGAGTAGCACTTACAATAGTAAGAAAAAAAAAGGTCAGCGAAAGGTTTGCGAAAAATGTTTGGTTGGAAAATTAATGATTATGATGTCAAATTAGAATTAGCCAAATGTTCCAATGGCGCGGTTTAAGTGGCTCGCAATGGGGCAGTGGTCAACATATTGCGTTGAAGAAATACCGTTTAGACAAAGCATCAAAAGAAGATGCAGAAAAAATAGGCGACGATGTTTTGGCTATGAGTTAATTTGAACGTGCGAATTTCCATACGTCTTTTATGGTATTTGTAAATAAAACAATATAATGGGAAACGATTATAAAGAATATATGATGGCATGGAAGTTTCCACAATTGCGATTTTTAGATTTTAGAAAGATCAAATAAAAAGATCAGAAAGTGGCTCAAGAATTATTCCGTAGTAAACTATGCTAAAAGGGATTGCAAAGAAATCAAAATTATCCGCCATAGCAGTAAATAATGAAGAATACTGGAGGAGCACTTAAGGCCAACGTAGACGATCTGTTGCGCATACGTGAAGCCTCTAATTGCGCTCGCTCCTTACAAGAAGTTGAACGCTTTTCTCAGATTCTATAAAGTGGGCGGTTTCCTGAAAAGTTAGGCGCTAGCAAAGTTATATAAATTGGTGCGGGTCTTGCAAACGCAGCTTTACGGACACGAATTGGACATGATTGATGCAGTGCTTTGCTTGACTTTGTACCGTTATTTTGCTTAACTTCTTTGACTCTATATTCGAGAGTCAGTAAGCTCATTTGTAACCCAACATTCGGAATTGATCTGTACAAATTTTTGCATTCATATAAGAGTTCTTGCCTTTCGAAAGCCTCACTCTCTTAGGGAGTGAGTAAAATTCTAATAAAAAAATGTCGATCATTCTATATTGATTTATAGGTTAACGTGGATATCATATGTTTCTGTTTTACTCTTTACCAGAATAAAAACAGAGACTTAAGAGTATAAAATGTTCAAATCGGCCATAGAAGTCTATATGTTGCTTAAACTCTTGCTTTTTTTATGCACGACTGGGCGACTTTTTTCGCTTTAGGCTTCTTGATAAAAACAAATTAAGTTGGAATCTCTATTAAATGTACCAAGTTGGAAGGGCGTTCGATACAGACTAAGTTGGAGTCCTCATTAAACATAAAAATTAAATGGGAATCTTTGGTATATGTTAATATAAAAATCGAGTTTAGATCTATGATAAATATTAAAACCTATTTAAAATCTGCGTCAAGCCTCCCTTAAAGCCTTCGAAAGAATAAGTGTAAATAGCGGATATTGGAGAGATAAAAGACGAGATTAATTTTTGCTTCTTATATAAAAATATTTATTTCAAAAAGTTCGATTCAAATTAGGTGCTTATAAAGTATAGAAGAAATAAAAAATTTGAAAATAATCAGAAACAGTATCTTACGTAAAAAAAGTAAGGAAGTTGTGGTCGTTTGGCATCGAATGTTGAATATGCAACAGTCCGTGGCCGCCGCAAGTGCGGCCTTCTTTTATTTGATTCTTTGTATGCATCATACGCAAACTAGAATAATAAGCCGGACAAGACCAAATTGCAACCCCTTAACATTTCAGAAGGTATTTTCCGCATTACGATGTTAAAATCAGCTATTTCTTTGGTGTCATTATAGATACTGTAAAAACAGGCAATATTGCTTTTAAAATGAATTCCATATACAAAAGATAATCATCGGGATCCCCAATTTCAATATCCTTCGCCGGATCTGCAGATAATTTCATTTTCTGCACTTATTACTTTCTCGGTTCCTTTTTCTGATTTATAATCAAATACTTTTCTCCCATGTGAATTGCATTCCCTTCAAGGTTTCTCCTTCTGCTCCTTCTGCATTATTTTTAGTTTCTAAATCTTTTTTGCTCATCCTTTGTACTTTTCTGTAAAAAAGCTGTTACTTTATATAGACTTTTCTTCATTAATTTGCTTTCTTTTTTCTTAGTAACCCAATTCTATTTTTCAACCAAATCGTTGTTGTCTATATATGCACAACATTGTGCACCACTATTTGTAAGGATGAATGAGTTAATATAGACCGAACTTTCATTTTATCCAAGCTTGTCTGTCCTTTACCGAGGCAATCGCAAGTTCAAGCTACAGGTGACAGTATTTGAGATATTTCGTTGAAATTCAATATCGAACGCTTTTGAAAGTGGTTTAGATCGGTCCATTTTTTTTCGACGAAATGCACTGCTGTGTCAATTGTTTGCACTCCTGTCATATAACACCTTTTTTACGGCAAATGAATCTTGATATGGTAAAAAGGTGTAGTTTTCATGGTAAAAATTGTTTCATAATATTAATCTGGTAAGAATATCCACGAAATGTGAACTGTTATATGCCAAAAAGTCGTAATTATTAATCTCTCATGATTAAAATTTGTTTATAATAGTAACTTGATATAAAAATTCAGTGAACCAAATTTGAACCACATGGGCCTCACTCCGTAAAAGATTTTGCATGAATAGTAAGCCTTTCTGAAGAAGTTTAGTTTTTAATATTTTATGATGAAACTTGATCCATAGTAGCAAATTAGCAAAAAAACAAAAGGCAGGGAATTTCGATCATATAGATGTATTTCTTAGACCCCAACGTCGGTATACGTCGGTTATCATGAAAAGCAAGCCCTTATATGGAGAGAAAGATTAATTCCTAGCTTTTTATGACGGAAACTAAAAAAGAAAAAAATCTTTAGGAAGTAAATAAAGTTTGCTAAAATTGGATCACGTCATGTGATGTTTCGAACATCCTCCAATCTTTCATAACGAGTAAACCTTTGATGAAAATAATGTGTAATTTTTGGCTTTTTGTTATGAAAACGAGTGGATATCTGTCCTAGGCGAAGTGTGTGGGTGTAGGTCATGCATTGGACGATCTTTACTTTACATATTTAAATTTTTAAAAAAAGATACTAGCATACGAATTTTTCTTTAAACTCCCCGCATTCATAAGAGTGAGAAATTCGTCGATGCTTGCACACTCGCCCTCGTGACATTATTCCCAGCTATAGCTACAATTGATTCTCGGCGCAGTTAACGTATAAGGGAAAAAATTTACTATCTTACTTAAATACAGATTTATCCAACTTCTTTTACAGTTATCTTTATAAAATTTACGGAAAAAATTGTAGTAACTAACTGAGATAACGCAACAATGTCCGCCAAGCAGTCAACATGCAAAATATCGGAATTCTCACGGTTGCAAAAATAAAAAAAAAAATCTTGAAACTACCCACATCAGCAACAAGCAACGGAATTGTGTTATACATATCCGAACAAATAGTTGGCCATTCATAAAGATTCGGTCATAAGACGAGAACAACTTTTTTACTTATATACCTAGGAATTATTGCAATTTTGTATGTAGAATTGCTAACTATAATAATTTATTGCGGTTGTTAAAATCAAACGCAAGCACAAAAACTCTTTTATACCATCTTATTACAATATGTAATAAAAATTAAGCATAAATGCATATAATTCGAAGGAGCGAGGCATTTTACATTTTAGGGTCGATTCGTATTCTCTATAATCAACGTAAATCAAATCCACATTTTTACTTTTCATAAAGTTTCCCAAACTCCTCAACATGAAGTGAAAAGAGAGCTTTTTTTTTGTTTTGTAACCATATGGAGGCTATTTATTTTTGTTTTAGGAATAGTAGTAGTACATTGAATTAAAGAAAAACAGGATAACGTTACAAGGCTAACGATGTTTAGTAGACAATTCTGTTAACTCTTCTTTCATCTTTCCTTCGCATGCATCGTAGGCCGTGCCCAAGCCGAAACCAGTGCTCAGTAAAACGGGCCAAGCCCGACGTTTTGTAAAGATAAGAGAGAAAAGCACACCGATAAGGAAACCATTGGCACCTTTAATTAATCCATCGACACAGCAACGATCAGCCGACGTTATAGTTAATCCATCTTCTTGAAATTTCGAATTTTTTTTTTCTTGCATTCTACGTTTATGTTATTTAGTTCTTTCCTTTCTTAGTTTTTGAAATAATTTCCACGATTGTCAATTTTCAATGCCAATATTTTTCCCCGACAGAAAGAATGTTTTATAGCGAAGGTCATAATAAAAATAAAATGCCCTTTTTTCCAAACGTCTTGTTGTGTGACTATGATTTATGTATGATTATGTGTGACTTAACAAAGTTTCGTATCAGCTGTTTTCAAATATTTGACAACCACTTCTATAGTTTTATGAGAAGTTTCATCATTTTTTTTAATGTCAAAGAAATAGCTTCGTATAAATTGCCAAAAGTATACAGATGGCAACGGGTCATCCAATTTAAATAACGCATACAAATGAATAGCAGTTGCTAAAGCATCTTCGAAACTTAGTTTATATTTTAGACTTTGAAAGACAATATAACATTCTCGGATTTCCAAGAAGCTTTCACCCATCACAAAAATGCAAGGATACGGTTCATTATAGACAAAACATTCCGAAGGGTCATTAATTAAACGTGTTACCGATCGTTGCGAATCCGCTGCGGAGTAGCGATGATTGCCATTTTTGCTTTTCCAAGAACGCACAGGTTTTGTCATAGCGTGCAATAAATGAATTAAGGTACAGGCAATGCTATCTGTAAAGAAAATGTTCTAATTGCTGCTTTAAATTGTTTTGACGAGGAAGTACCCATATTCCATACCATCATTTAGGTTTCCTTTCTCGACTTTATATAGTTTCAGCAAATCGACACATGTACTATCTTTAATTTCAGTTTCCATTAAATGCACAACTTTTTCCTTAAAGATAAGCCAACGATGTTTATATGTTGACATTGTGATAGGGTAGATTTGTTCAAAGTCCATGGCAAACTAAGAACAGAGAAGAAGTTTAAATATCTTGTTACGTAGGTAACGATTTTGATAGTTAAAGAGTTTTCCTTGTACCAATTTGTAACCACTCGGTAATTTATACGAAGGCCAGCTGTCCAAGAACTCTCTGACACTCTCCAAATCATTTGCTTTTAAATATTTAATCTGCAAATTTCTATAGTTCAACGTGTCATCCCACATATCCATAACTTCATTAAAGTCTTCACATTTGTAACATTTTAACCAGTTCTGTATTCGTTGGCCACCTTCGTCTTGCTCCATGGCTTCAATGTCCTCTTGAAGTGTGGAATCTTTTGAATGTTCTTTCTTCCTTAATGTTTTAATGGCGGTTATTCTACGTTTCTTACGATACGAGCCCACTCGTTGTCGTGCAGTATAGCGACGCGCTTGAAGGCGTCCGCGATGCCGATCATACCAAGCTTTCTGAAAAAGATATGATAATAATCACTGAAGAAAATTAAAGCCATGATCACCTTATTCTCGGTGGGAAAATATTGAGTAATTTGTTCGGCTAAGTTATTCATGATTTGAGGTTGCAATCTTATATTTCGAGAATCAAAATAATCTATTATTGATCTAGCCATTAAACGACGATCCTCTTCCGTTAGTAATTTTGCATTTTTGTAATTCTTTTCGCAACATCTTAACACTGTTGGTATAATGGTTGTTAAAGGCTGTAGCAGCAATAATTCACGAAATAAGAGTTAATTGTCTTAACAAACTTTTTAAAAGACTTACAAAACTCTCCACATCAACTTTAACATTCATATTACCAGACTCCACAGCAGATCCAGGATTGCAGGTACTAAAACTTAAGTGATCTTCAGCATAAGTTGAAAATGTAAGTAAATCTTGATGATCAGTAATTACGTTACTGCTATCAGAATTGCATATTTTTTGTAATTCTAAATTGTCTTCATTAGATAATCTTGATCCCATATGTTGTACTTTAGTTTGTGTATGTTTACTGGAGCAACTTGAACAGGCTTCTTTATGATTTTCCGTTGGATTAAAGGAACCATTACGAGTTTTCCATGCCTTCAGCAAGAATTCAAATTCAGCCCGAATGCCAAGTTGAGTTTTAGGTATTAACTCTCGAACATGATCTTTTTCAAAGTAACGTAGCTGTCTAGCATTGACATTAAATTCTGCAAATTTTTGATTATTTAATAATTTTAAGATTGATGGAACATTTAAGATCTATTTACGTTTGCATCTTTCAAATAAATATAAATAATTACATTTATCTATTTCACATAGCGTAGCAATTAGTTGAGCGTCAACCTGCGCAGGGGAGGTATCTTAATAAAAATAAACAATCGCATTATTTTACAATCTGCAGAAAACGAACACATTAAGAAAATAGCAAGGAGTCCGGCTTTATAAGTCGTCGTATAGTCTGAATTTATATTAAGTTTCTTTCACATTCTCGATAAAATTAATTTTTTTTTTTTTTTTGATTTCAACCAGATTGTGTGCGGAAAAGTTATTAGTTTCTTATTTGGCACTAGTTTTTAATGTCATATTTTGTCGGAAAAAGACGCAAGCCGTGCACACAATTTTCTTTTATGTGTTTGTCTTGTAATCTTTACAAGCTTTCGCAAAAGTTTCTAAACATTTCAAGTGTCTTTCAATATCAACACATCACGCTTACCGTTTGGGATTTCCTCTTCCATAGTTAGGTTTCCTTTTTTTACAATTTCACTATATAATTATTAAATTACTGAATCTTTCTTTTTTGATTTATTTTAGCTCTTTTCCACTTTGACACGGCAACTTTTGTGTGCAGAATGAAACAGCTTTGTTCTCTTTGCAGAGAGAATTACACCAAAACATAACAGTATGAATAGGGTTGCCATTATTCATATTTTTTTATGTGTGAAAAGGGGACGATTTATTGCTTAATTTTCTTCTTCGAATCCCATAAGGTGTACAACAAGAAAATATTAACAGATAAACAAACTTGATCTATATTTGGAAGTATGTAAAAAATTACAATTAGCATTTGTGAATTTTATATGTGAGTATTATAGGGAGTTCATTTCAGTTTTATTTTTAACATTTGTGTGTCTTATAAGTGACTTCACACCTTTAGAGAGTAAGTAAATGAACGAGTAGGTAATGTGTTTCAATTTCTTTCTTACACAACGTAGAAAGTTGGAAAATGTTTGGGTACACTCATTTCGGTGTCTCTTAATATGCATTTATCCGTTTTTTTTTTTTTTTTTTTAATTATATATACGTGAATTAATATTTAATTTCAATTTCTTCCTTTCCTTCACATTTCTTTATATACTTTATAGTAGTTTTTAATAATAATTAGTGTAAGATTTGCATATAAGAATTAATAGAATCCGACTGTTAATTTATTTTAGTTGAGTTTCTGTGTAAGCTAAATTGAAAATAAATAAATAAATAAGTAACAATTTCAACAAAGGAACAATTTCCTCAAGCACACTTATTGAAAGAATTAGAGAAAGAGCAAGGAGCACAGTTTACAATGTCGTATTATTTACTTTAAAGAGCACTTATGTTCGTTCAAAAATTTTTACACAAATACTTTCATCGTTTTTACATTAGAAAATCATTTATATTTTTTTTTATTATTTCTTATAAAAGTTTCCAGCTGCTCTCATCTAAAATAGATCTTTGAAAAAGTCTTTTACCTCCATCTTTGTGCAAGAAATTTATGAAAAGGAAAGGAATACGCAGACATAGAATTTGGCGAACTTTAAGTTAATCCAAAATTTTTCAGCTTTGGTGCCATCCAATCAGTTTAAAATTGAGATAAGTAACAATTATGATTGGGAAGAAGATGACGTCGTACAATATAATTTTCTGGTCGTACAATATAATTTTCTGGTCGTACAATATACTTTTCTGGTCGTACAATATACTTTTCTAGTCGTACAATATAATTTTCTGGTCGTACAATATAATTTTCCGGTCGTACAATGTACTTTTCTGGTCGTACAATATACTTGTCTGGTCGTACGCTATACTTTTCAATCAATGAGAAATGTTTTTTGGTCG